TTTCATCATACAAATATCTTTGATAATTACACGAGTTATGTGCGATATGGAACATTGTAATAGTACATGTTATAAATTATAAAATTTTGATTTCAGGTATTCAAAAAAAATCAAACAATGATTAAATACTAGGTTTTATGACTAGACAGTCAAATTTGGAGACATAGCCCAGAAAATAAAAATGTCCAAAAGTGGGGGCGAGTGTTTAGTCGAACGAGTACGGTATATAAGAATATTTTAGGGACTATGTATCTATCTATCTATCTATCAATTGAAAGACACGAAGGCAAACAATTGCTTTGGACATTTTGACAATATTATCGTTTGATTTCTCTGTGATGCCTAGATGCTGTCATATGCTTATCCATGCATGGAGTAAAACTATGTGGCATGATTCTTACCCAATAGATGCGGTGTATACCTTCCCAGCGTCCACCATTCCATTAGAATACTTGATCAGCTGTAGAGAAATCAAAACAGATGAACACAAGCGTATCTTGCTGAAGGAACTCACAAACCAGTGCTAAGAATATTAACAATTACAATGTGGTTTCCTGTGAAGCTCTGTGCAGAATATAAACATCATTTACATAGCAACCAAATTAGACAAAGAACTGAAGGTGGTCCCTAAATGGTTTGTTTTATTTTTACTGCTATCAATTCTAACAGGTTGATACCATGACACAAGACACACATCGATATATACAAAACACCATGTACAACATTTCTAAATTTTCTGTAAAATCCATGAATCACGTCTTTTACAAAATTAACCCTTTAAAATGCCATCATTTTTTCACCAACATAATTATGTGTTTTTTTATTATTATTTTTTTTTTTCATTCATCATTGGTTACAGGTCTTGATCAATTTTTTTGAAAAATTATAACAAATTTGTGATGCTTAACTTTGGAAATGGTGAATAAAAAGTTATAAAGCTGTTTAAAAAATTATTCAGACTACTGTAGAATACTTTATTTTCGCTGGAATTTATTTTCACTAAAAAGATGTTTTGGGTGTTTAGTATGGAATTTATTTTCACTAAAAAGACGTTTTGGGTGTTTAGTATAGAATTTATTTTCACTTAAAAGACGTTTTGGGTGTTTAGTATGGAATTTATTTTCACTAAAAAGACGTTTTGGGTGTTTAGTATAGAATTTATTTTCACTAAAAAGACGTTTTGGGTGTTTAGTATGGAATTTATTTTCACTAAAAAGATGTTTTGGGTGCTTAGTATGGAATTTATTTTCACTAAAAAGACGTTTTGGGTGTTTAGTATGGAATTTA